TGAGTGAATTGCCTGAGCCCACGGGTTCGAGACCCACCTGGGCAGCAAGACCTCATCTCTACAATAAATCAAAAAAATCAGCCGGGCATGGTAGTGCGTTCCTGTAATTCCGGCTACTCAGAAGGCTGAGGTGGTGGCCGGGAGTGGCCACTGCACTCCAGTGTGGGTGACAGAGTGAGACTCCAACTCAAAAAAAAAAAAAAAAGTGAGGTCCTTCAACTAGTCTACCCTAACAAATAAATGGTACTATAAATTTGAATTTTTTCTTTAGCTCTTCCTTCTCTTTCTTTCTCTTCTCCTTGCAATACTTCACTTGATCTTGTCATTTTTCTTCTAAATACTTTGTAAGTTAAACCACTTGTCTCCAAGGCCACTGTCACAATCCTATTCTAGGCCACTATTAGTTTCTGCTCTGACTACTGCTTCTGCAATTTGTAGCTTCCTACCTGCTTTCCTTCCACTCTTGCCCTCATTTAGTCCATTCTCCATAGAACAACCTGAATGATTATATTAAAATGTAAATTTGGCTGAACATGGTGGCTCATGCCTATAATCCCAACATTTTGGAAGGCTAAAGAGGGAGAATTGTTTGAGTCCAAGAGGTTGAGACCAGCCTAGGCAACATAGCGAGACCTCATTTCTACAAAAAATTTAAAAATTAGCTGGGCATGGTGGCTGTGCGCCTGTCATCCCACTACTCAGGAAGCTGAGGAGCAGTATCATTTGAGTCCAGGAGATCGTTTGAATCCAGATGACTGTGCCACTGCACTCCAGCCTGAGCGACAGAGTGATAATCTGAATAACAATAATAAAAAAAGTAAATTTTGCTACTCAAAACCTTCCATTTGAGATAATACCATTTATCTTGACATAGGCTAAAATGTTCCCTATGATGTGGCCCCTGCTTGACTCTTATAATTCATCTCATAACAACCCCCTCTGCCCTCCAGTTAGGCATATGCTACACTAGAATTGTCTAAGTTCCTTGAACACCTAACAAGACCTTTCCCACCTCTGGATTTTCACACATGCTTTTCCCACTAGACATAAAACTTCCCCATTTGCTGTTTCTCATTTTTCAGGTATTGATTTAAGATATCACTTCAGAGCAACTTGGCCAAGCTTCACATCCTTAATCTAAATTAGATTTCCTTATGGTATTTTCTTATAGGTGCCTAGATTTCCCTTCAGAGCAATTGTCTTAGACCAACTTCTCTGGAAATAGACGCTGAGGTGTAGATTTGTGTGAAGGAGCTTTACTGTGGAGCCCTTTGGGGAATAATACCAATAAGCAAGACTTGGGGGAGGGAAGCAGAATTGACAGAAGGAAAAGTTGAATTGCCCCACAGATACAAGAGAGGTCTCAGCCAGTCCCACGAAGAGTAGTGGAGCTAGAACAGCCTTTCAGAGGTGCCTCAATTCCAGGCAAGGGGACCAGGTCTTTGTAATGCCCACAAACCACTCACGGGTCAAGCTTGCATAGTGCACAAAAGAACCCTTCAGCAATCTAATTAAAATGGAGAATGGGAAGCATGGGGAGTCTCTCTGAAGTGAAATTTAAACCAATGCCTGAAAAATGAGAAACAATAAACTATGAGCAATTCCTTCAAACAAGAGCAATTCCTAGAGGGAGACTCAGTGTGACTCATGGCAGTTGAGGGCTGAAGGCATGCTCTAGGTAGGTGGTAGGCAAATCACAATATATACTATGCAGTGATTGCAGCTTATGACTAAATGTTTGTTTTCATGATTACTTGAATAGTATTAGATCTCCTCCACTAAGCTGTGAGGAGGTCCATGAATGTAGGAGATGTGTTTGCTTTGTTCACCTCTTATCTCAATTTCCCTAGGAGTGGCTGCCACATGTAGGGTGTTAGATGGATTCTTATGGAAGGAAAGGAGTTTAAATTGCATCCAGATAAAATTGTGGAACTACTGAAGGATTTTAAACAGGATTTATATGTTACTTCAGCAATCTAGTGGTTGTGTGTCCTTGAGCAATTTATTTCATTAGAAAAATTATTCTAGCTGTATTGTAGAATGTGGAAGAGGACCAGGGCCTCACTAGAGATTGAGAGATAAAGGACTGATTCAGCCATCCAAGTTGAAAAGGATGAGGGATAGGTCAGGGCAGAGAGAGAAGCAGAGAAGTGAAGATTGAACTTTGAGGAAAAGCAAGAAGAAAGCCTGCTTACACAGCACAGAGAGAACCTGCAGAGAAAAACAAATCCAAGGAGAATGGCTGGATGACCAGCAAAGTCAAATTCCTAAAGTATATTAGGAAAATGAAGGCTAAGGGGAAGCAGAGATGTTATAGTAAAGAAGACATAGATGTGCTTGGACTACATCATTTTGGTCAAATTGGAGGGTATGGCTTTTCACAACTCACATGTGGAAAACAAAAAAGCACATTTAACTGAAACTTTTTTTTCTATGAAGAACAAAATACTCCTAAACTAAATATAATTTTTTTTCTGGCTTTAAATACTTGAAAGTACTTGATATACATGGGGGACCCAAAAAACCCAGAATTTATTTATAAAAAATTGTGTATTTACTCTTACATACTCTTATGTTTGAACTTCAGTCACCTCCAAAGTAATCTCCACTTTAATACACCTATTGAGAACACTTATTCCACAGTTCACGACAGTTTTGGTACTTGTCAATTTGGATGCCTTTTAGTGCTTCTGCTGTTTTGACATTGTTGTTGTTTCACCTCTTCCACGTTGGCAAAATGTTTCCCTTTGAGGATTTTTTCATCTGATGAAACAAAAAAAGTCAGTTGGGGTGAGATTGGGTGAAGAGGGAGCGTGGGGTATGGAGGTCATGTCATTTTTGGTCAAAAACTGCTGAACACTCAGCATGGTGTGGGGCAGGTGTGCTCACAAATCACCTGTCATGAAACGGAGAAGTGCGTTGAAAGAAACTTCAATAAAAATTTCATTGAAGCCAAACACAAACACAGTCTCCACAACAATGCTAGCCAGTACACTGATGCCAATGTGTTCCTAGAACACTCGCTTAGCAGGGGAACCTGTACAAAAAGGGGCCTGCCTTCCAAAAACTATTTCTATTTTTTGGGAGGGGTCCCCCCTCATATACCTCTTCCATATTTTATTTCGCATTCTATTTTGAATTATGTTATACTGATTATACACATAAAACCGTTGGCAGGCAAAGGACTGGTTTTTGTGTCTTCAAATCCCCTACAATGTCTATCACAAAGCCTTGCTCATTGTAATATATGTTCACGTGGAAATATAGGTTCAACTGAACAGAAAACTTTTAACCCCAACCCTTTTTGTTTTCCTTATAAATCTGGTAAATTTTAACAATCACTTCAAGTGGAAGTGTCTTTGATTAATAATTGGTCCCATTTACAAACTGAGTTACTTAAATGCCATTAAAGGTTTTAAATGGCAATTATTCATTAAACCTATTTGATTTATTTTTGAATGTTTGACATTCTTAACAAATTATCACCGAGCTGGAAATAACTCCTGTAAATTCAATAAATTAAACTTATAAATATATAATCTAAACAATTTCTTTACTGTTTACCAACTTAATAATAATAATTTCATAGTTTTCAACTTAAAATCAGAAATGTAAAATTATTTTATGCACATTTAAAATTGTAATTACAAAATTAATTTGTTAGATATTCTAATATTCCAAATTAGCTTATTATCTACATGTTAAGTATTCATTTATCTTATTTAATTATTTCTCTTTAATTCTAAATTTTTCCAGTATTAAGCATACTCATCCACTAAGGAAACAATTAGCCTGCACAGAAAACTTAGTTACTTTCTCATCAAACTGAGACTGTGTGTCAATCAGAGAATTAGGCAGGGCCATGAGAACTGAATCTTTGCCTGGAACTCTCAAGCAAGATGAACACTTCTTTATGAGTATAATCACTACAGTAACAGAAGCGTGATTCCCCATAGGGGGAGCTGGTCTTTCTTTAGCCCAAGACTCCATTACCTAATCCTTCTGTATAGGCAAGGAAGTCAATAAAACCCCACCAAGACTGTAGCTGACCTTCTTCAATGCTGGATTTAATCTCATATTTTCTTGACTAGCTCTAAGTCATTTAATGTTGCCCCATTTGACTCTGAAGCCACTTTAATGTCATTGCATTTAACCCTTTACTCATTTTTATTCTATGCTCTTATATAGGTGGAATCTGAATTCTTTCATATTGTTTATGTTAATTAAGTAATATATACATGTATATATATTATATACACATTAAAATATGGAAAAATGTGTGAACCAGTAGAGGAAACAAAAATAAAAAAAGTAGGAATGGATAAAAGATTTTTTTCTTGCAAATTTCTCCGATATGCGCATGTACACACACACACCCCCACACATGCAGATATACTCACACATATACACACATTCTTTACTAGTTAAGGACATTGTGGAGAAATGCAATGGGTATTCCTATTGACTTGCTTGTGTGTTAAGGTTTTATATATTTCATTTGGTAGACAGTTTTTCACTATGCACCTGCACCAGTCATTAACCTAGGTATTTAATATAAAATGATAAAATGTGATGCTGTTTTTTTTTTTTTTTTTTTTTGAGTTGGAGTCTCACTCTGTCGCCCAGACGGGAGTGCAGTGGCCGCTCCCGGCCACCGCAGCCTCGACCTGCTGGGCTCCGGTGATCCTTCCGCCTCAGCCTTCCGAGTAGCCGGAATTACAGGCATGCGCCACCACGCCCGGCTGATTTTTTGATTTATTGTAGAGATGAGGTCTCGCTGCCCAGGCGGGTCTCGAACCCGCGGACTCATGCAATCCACTCACCTCAGCCTCCCAAAGGCGCGGGATTACAGGCTGAGCCACCGAGGTGATGCTGTTTTCAAAAATTTTACTCTCATTTCTATTTAGAGTCAGTTATTATCAGTAAAGTTATTAGTATTGTAAAAACTTTATATTTGGCTATATTATTCATTTATTTAACAAATACTTTCTGCCTGAAAGGCACTATTCCAGGCATAGGGATGGAGTAGCAAACAAAGCAGACAGAAATCCCTGTTCTCATGAAACTGATATTCTAGTGCAGCTCAGACAAGCAATGGACAAATAGATAGAATATGACATGTGACAAACACTTTGAAAAAATAAAACAGCATAAGGGAATATAGAGTGATTGGAATGTATTTCAGACAGTTGTCAGCAAAGATCTTTTTGATATCCTTTGAATGGGGTGAATTGATGGTATTAGAGGGAGATTTGAAAGAATAAACAAGAATGAAAAACACTATCCAGAAGCTTGCCTGGAAACTTCTTGGGAGAAAAACAGTCATTTCTTATTATCTCTTATAACTCACTGATTAACAGAAAACAATGCCCTGCACACCCTTATTTCCTGAGTTGTCTAATTCCACATGACTTAGCATAGATATTGAAAAAGGATGTCTGCAATTTAATATTTGAATCAAATCTTGTATTTGAGCCAAAAGCAAACAGCTGTTATAGGAGAATGAACTCAGAAGTCTTGACATGAGAAAGGAGGCTCCTTTGTACCAAGTTCTCTTTTCTTCTTCCCTTACAAGCTACTTTGTTCTGTCTTTTGCCTCTAGTTCCAATAGGTTTTTACCTTCTGCCTGCACAAAGAAAAAGCCAGTATACTTCTTTTATTCTATTTTATTTTATTTTTTTATAAATGTGCATTCTCAAGACTCACCCTAGGTCTTCCAGATTAGAAACTAGGAAGGGTGGGGTCCAGCGATCTGTTTTTTATCAAACCCTCCAGATGACTGACGGCAGTGTACCTTTTTAGAAGACCTAGTTACATTGGGACATTCTGAATGCTTTCAAAGATTTATATCTGACATTCATGAAAAGGGTTAGCACTATTCCCTGGTCATTATCAAGACTTGGGAAGTGACAGATCTGTTTGGGATGAAGGCAGATCTACTCTACCTGACTCCCAGACCAAGACCAAAGATATGGTTCTGGTTTTCCACACTGACAAAATGACAGACCCTTTTAAAGAAGCATGTATTTCAAACAGAATGGCTACACTGATTTTCAGAGATTATCCATCTAACGCTGGTTCATATAATTTGAAGTCTAACATTTTACATACATTTAACAATATTTGGGTGGGAAATTGCTGATCATTCAAAACAAACAAACAAAAAAACTGCCCCAAACTTAATCTGGTCATTTGGTCTTTTTTCTCCTTATTCACCTAGGTTTGAATAACATTCCAATCTGTACTGTAAATGATGATGAGAACACATTCAGAACATTGTCAGGTGTTGACCAGTCTTACCATGTAGAGGAGGATGGAGCACCATTTGCCAAATGCAGTTATCCACCCAGGACAAAAGTCCTGGAGAGCCCTGTCGGAGCATCCTCAGCCCCAAACAGTGTCAAAGTGTCACCACAGCCTCATTCTGGTGAGTTCCTCTCAATTGATGAAATGTTTCTTTATGCTTCCTGCCAACAATCAGAAGGAAAGTCTATATGATTGATAAAATAACTGCAGTGATTTTTATTTATTTATTTTATTTTATTTTTTTGAGTTGGAATCTCACTCTGCTGTACAGTGGCATGCTCATGGCCACCCCAGCGTTGACCTGCTGGGCTCCAGTGATCCTTCTGCCTCAGCCTTCCAAGTAGCCAGAACTATAGGCACGTGCTACCATGCCCGGCTAATTTTTGATTTATTATAGAGACAAGGTCTCGCCAAGTTGCCCAGGCTGGTCTCGAGCCCGCAGGTTCGGGCAATCCTTTCATCTCAGCCTCCCAAAGTGCTAGGATTGCCGGCTTGAGTCACTGGGCCCAGCCTTGATTTTTAAAAGTCATAAAAATTTCCTCACTATGAAGAACATAAATTTTGTTATTCATTACAAAATTTTTCACTCGTCTAATCTCATTTACATAGCACTTTAATATTTTAAATGTTACTACTATTATTGTTAATTATATCCAAGACATATTTGGTGTTGTTTTAGTCTTTAGTTCCTACAAGACTGACTAAGAGATGGCAGAAATGAATATTTAGCCAACACTGATAGAGAGGTTACGTCAGACAAAAAGCAAGTCCAGGAACTGCAATAGAGATGGAATTGCATGTTTACATTTTCCTCATAGACTGTCACCTCCTTAATGCCAGGCCCTGGTGTTACTACCTTCTGTATTTTTGCCATTCTGCATTTCTCCCCAGGTCCCAACACAATGCCTAGTCCTTAATAAACAATTTAATTAATTAATGTTTACTGAATTATAGGGAAAACAAATTGATCAAAAGTAAAGTGTGGCAAAATCCAAAGGGCAAGATAAAATAGAAGAAAGGAATCCACATGGCTGAAATGATATCCAGTTCTTTTCTTTCTACCAAGCTATAAATTACATGCTACTACTAAAACTGTCAGCATACATGAAAATTATCAGTGTATAATGTGGTAATATATATATATATATATTGTGGTAGCAGTGTACCTCAAAAGGTAGCAGTGGGAGTGATCATCTATAGAGTACTCACTATGTAATAGATACTGTGCCACAGTCTTCACATATAACTCATTTCATCCTTTTAAGAGTTCTTCTTCCCTCCCCTTCACTAGCAATGAAAAGTTGAAGCCAATTTATTTCACCTTCTTTCTGGTGTCCCCTCTTTCACTGTAGAACCTAGACAAAACTACATTTGCAAGAAAGAGGCCCTTGATGGGAATCAGGTGTCTGATAAGATTTCTATGGCAAATATGGGACTAAGGTCATCTTTTTGGTTGCTTTCTGTTATCAAGCATGACTAGAGACATGAGATTTTCTGCTACAACATCCCCATGTTCAGGTTCTATATTTATGGGTTTCAAAAGGCAAAATCAGCATAAACAGTGACTTTCTGATCACAGCAGCATTCCAGTGTCTAGCTTTTAGCCTTATGGATATTGCAACAGCCATTCAAGAGGCAGTGGCTTCCTGACTCCTCTTGCTCCTGGCTGTAATAAAGGCTGTGCCTGCTTGAATGGGCCAGGTCCAAGATATTGTTCTTGGAGTGATTTGTCATTATCTTGACCAGAGTTCACAGTTCCAACAATATTACAAACTCCTAATTGCCTATTATTTACATTTTTGCTTATAATAGAGTGGTTTTTGTTTCATACAAGTGAACACTAACTTAATAGATTCACCACCCATAATTTTGTTTTCATTACTTGGAGAGAAGTAACTTTACGCTTTTTTAAAAAAATGTTTCTTCAGCTAGACCTAGTGAATTTAGTTACTATTGCTTTTATACACAAATCTTTCCATCTTTTCAAAAATATTTTTGTGGTAAATTATGGCTTTGGTAAAAGAGATAGCCTCATTTATATAGAATATATCTTTAAATTTATGTAAATGGAAACTAGGCACAACTATAAGTGGCGTTAGGGTAATTTAGGGGGATTTAGTTATGTGACTACAAAATGTGTGTAGGGTTGAGAAACTCATAGAAGAAATAAAATAAAGAATGCAATCATAACACAAATATTATCTGTCTACAGGACAAATAACACATACATTTTCTTTAATTAGAGGAAGTGACAGTCATATGGACAGGGACTAGAGAAAAGTATCTTATACTGAAATATGTACTTTTAAAATTGGTTTAACTAGATCAAAAAAGCACTTGCAATGTGTCTTTATATCATGATCTTGGGCAAATAGTTTTTTAACTATGCTTTTATTATGTTATTATAATGCCCTTTTATCTGCAAGTTTCCTAATATTTAAAAATAGATCCCTGAATTGACCTTAATTTAAATACAGGCATACCCTTATCTATTTCAGCAACTGACACATATACCGCGTGATGGAAATTCTTTCAGTTTAATCTAAATACATTTCCTCCATTTCATTTCAGATTCCAGCCGAAAACTCAAAGAATGTTTCAGAACTTCCAGTGAGAATCCCTTAGTAATTAGAAAGGTAAAGAACAGCTACTTACAGCTTCTATTTCGTCTGACTTCTTTCGTTTCCTCTCCCTTTCCTCACATACTTTTCTGAAAACTCATCATGTTTCACAATATTTTTACGGTTGTAGTAAAGTACAATTAACATGACATAAGATACACATATTCAAAGTGCACAATTTTATGAATTTTGACAATTACATATACACACCTGCAAAATTACCACTGAAACCAAGAAAACACACATATTTATCACTCCCTAAAAGGTTCTTATGACCCTGGTTCTCCTGCAGGGAGAACATTTATCTGCTTTCTGTCACTAAAGATTAGCATGGAATTTTTTAGATCATAAATAAGTCAAATCATGTAGTGAGTTTTCTCTTTTTTCTTTCTTTCTTTTTTTCTTTTTCGAGTTGGTGTCTGTCACCCAGGCTGGAGTGCAGTGGCATGCTCACAGTCACCACATCCTCAACCTGCTGGGCTCAGGCAATTCTTCTGCCTCAGCCTTCCAAGTAGTTGGAACTATGGGCAAGCACCAACACACCCTGTTAATTTTTCTTGATTTATTGTAGAGATGAGGTCTTACCAAGTTGTGCAGGCTGGTCTCGAAACCCTGGACTCAGGCAATACACTCACCTCAGTCTCCCAAAGTGCTGGGATTACAGGCGTGAGCCACCACATCTGGCTGAGTGAGTTCTCTTTTTTAATATCTAGTTTCTTTAAGTCTGCATGATTAGTTTAAGATTTATCCAGGCCAGGTGCAGTAGCTCATGCCTGTAATTCCGGCACTTGTAATGCCTGTAATGCCTGTAATTCCGGCACTTCGGCACTTCGGGAATCCGAGGCAGGCGGATGTCTTGAGCCCAGGAGTTCAAGATCAGCCTAGGCAACATAGAGACCTTGTCTCTGCAAAAAGTCAAAAAACATCTGAAATTTGCTCTTAGTTATTTTGAAACATATAATACAATATTATTGACTATAGTCACCCTGCTTCAGGAGGGAGTAACATAGTTTTTTATTCATTCCTGTTTATCATTTCCTTTCTCCTTTCACACAGTTAATTTTGGAACTTTCAACTCTTTCTCCAAATTCCTGAGCATGTCACTCAAGGCCCTCTGTAATCCATTCCACTCTCTCATCTCCTCCTAACATACACGTACAATGTACATAGACACACACCTTTCAGTTCTTGTAACATATTCTGCAAAGGCATTTCTTATTTCTCCCTCTATCCTCCAATTCAGTAACCGATTTGTCCAATCCAAATATCCACCTTCCTCAAAGCCCTGCCCCCATGCCCCCTCAGCACATACTGAAAGTATCCATACTTGCCACCTAGTAAGCCCCTAAGTGTGACTTTCCCTCCTCTCTTCATGACATTTTTATATACTTTCACTATAGCACTTATCACATTGTATTATGAATAACTGTGCACATACATACTTTTGGACTGATTGATCTCACTCTTCTCTGTATCCCCAGTGCCAAGCATATTACCTAACACATAAGTTTAAGTAAAACTTGTGAAATGAAGAAATAAGAGAACTACATGACTTTCCCAAGTATACGAAGTTACTGGCAGAGACAGGTCTACAACTCAGGTCTACCTCTCCCAGAGGAGTTAACTAGGTCTACCTATCCCAGTGGGGACAAACCTCTTGACACTTAGCTAGCAAAATGGAGGCACACAGTAAGCGCTGAATATATGTTTCAATGAAATGGTCAGCTCCACAAATACCAATTAACTCCTGCCAATTTATAAGCCTTTGCTCTAGGCTAACCCATACTGATAGGCTAGACGTATTCAGATTCTGCCCTATCCCTGTATACCCTCAAGATATTTATCCTCTGCTAAAGACAGTACAGTACGGTAAAGATCACAACAGAGCAACAGCTTGTGGTCAGGCTTTAAGAGACAGATGTGAGAAGGATAAGATCTATAAATGCTGAGGCAGAAGGGCTCCATGGAAGTGGCCCTCTATGTGGACCCTGAAGGACAGAAGCATTTATACAGGCACAAGAAAGAGGAGTGTGAAGAGCAATGCAGGTGTGGAGAACAACAGAGGCACAAGGATTGCTACAGAGAGTGGTATACGTAGGAACACGGAGAAGACCTATCTGAATGGAGTGTATTTGGGAAAGTGGGGAGAGGTCATGGAGCTATGTGGAAGTTGATTATTAAGGGTCTTGAATGCCAAGGTGGTGAGTCTGAGGTTTTTTTTGGAGACAATGAAAATCCACTGGAGGCCGGGCTTGGTAGCTCAGCCTGTAATCTCAGCACTTTGGGAGGCCGAGGCGAGTGAATTGCCTGAGTTCGCAGGTTCGAGACCAGCCCAGACAACATGGTGAGACCTCGTCTCTACAATAAACAAATAAAAAAAATTAGCCGGGCATGGTGTCTACTAGGGAGGCTAAGGTAGAAGGGTCGCCGGAGCCTAACAGGTCGACGCTGGGGTGACCGTGAATGTGCCACTGTGCTGCAGCCTGGGTAACAGTGAGACTCCAATGGGGGGGTTCGCAGTGGGGGGAGAAAGAGAGAGACAGTGAAAGAAAGAGAAAGAAAATGCACTGGAAGTTTGTGTAAAAAGGAATGACATGACAAAATAAAGTGAATAAAGTGATCAAGTGTTTACCTTAAAAAAAATTAGCCAGGCATAGTGGCTCATAACTGTAGTCCTATGTTGAGCTGTGATCATGTCACACTGTACTCTAGCCTGGGTGACAGATGAGACCCTGACTCAAAAAAAAAAAAGTATTCATGTTGCTATGTGCATCACTAGTTCATTCTTTTTTATTTCTGAGTAGTATTCAGTTGTATGTTATCCTGCAATTTGTTTATCCTTTCACCTGTTAAGGGACATTTAGATTGTTTCTAATTTTTGGTAAAGCTAATATGAACATTTGTGTATAAGTCTTTATATGAATATATGCTTCCTTTTCTTTAGGGTTATATTAATACCTAGGAGTGACGTCACTGGATAGACATAGTAATTGTATGTCTACATTTTAAAGAAACAAACTGTTTTAATTTGCATTTCCCCAATGATCTATGAGGTTGACATCTGTTCATATTCTTACTTTCCATCCATGTATCTTTTTACAGGAAGTGTATGTTCAAATCTGTTACCTATTTCTTAGATTGGGTTATTTGCCTGTTTATTATCACATTGTAAAAGTTCTTTATATATTTTAGATTTAAATCTTTTGTTACATGTATGTTTTGCAAATATTTTCATCCAGCCTGAGGCTTCTGTTTTTTAAAATAACAACATCTTTTAAAAAATCAAAATGTATAATTCTGTTGAAGTCAAATTTTTTTATATTATAGTTATCTACATCCTGTTTATCTCTATTGTGCCTATTGCAGTGGCTAGAACTTCTAATATAATGTTGAATAGAAGTGATGAAAGCATACATCTTTGTCTTGTACCTGATCACAGAGAGAAAGTATTCAGACTTTTACCATTAAGTATGATATTGCTTAACACTATTCATAGATGCCCTTTGTATGACTGAGGAAATTCCTTTCCATTCCTTGTGTGCAGAGAGTTTTATCAAAAATGGGGGATGAATTTTGCCAAATGCCTTTTCTGTATCTATTTGAAACCATATGATTTTTCTTTTTTAGTCTGCTAGTAGAGTGAATTATATTGGTTAACTTTCAAATGTTAAACCAACCTTGTATTTCTTGTTAAAAAAACAACCCTCTCGGTCACGATGTGTTATCCTTTTTAGATACTAACCTTCATAAAATGTTGTTTGACATTCTTGTGTCTGTATTTATGACTAACATTTGTTTGTAGTTTTTTGTAATGTCTTTCTCTGGTTTTAAAATCAGTATAATACTGACTTTATAGAATAAGTTGGAACTCCTCTTTAGTTCTGGAAGATTTTATGTGGAATTGATATTATTTCTTCCTTAAAAGATTACTAGAAATCTTCAGTAAAAAGTGTATCTGGAGTTTCCTTTGAGTCAAGGTTTTAAACTACAAATTCAATTTCCTTTTTTCATAAATATAGGCTATTTCTTAATATTTTCTAATCTATTCCACAACTTGTCCATTTCTTCTTTAGTGAGCATTGGTAATTTATATTTTTCAAGGAACTTGTCTGTTTCATCTAAGTTGTTAAGTTACGAATATAAAGTTTTCATAAACTTATTTTTATGATTTTATATCCATAAAGAGGTTTGTTCTCTCATATTGGTAATTTGTGTCTTCTTTTTTTCCTGACATGTCTAGCTAGAGTCAGCATTTCATTTCATTGATTATCTCTATTGTTTTCTGTTTCCATTTCATTTTGATTTTACTCTTATCTTTACGTAAGATCAAAGCTTAAGTCATTAATATGATACTTTTAAAATATAAGTATGTATTATGATAATTTTCTTATAAATACTACTTTGGTTGTATCCCTCAAATTTTACTATGTTGAATTTTCATTTTTATTCTGTTCAATTCTTTGACTTGTGGGTTGCTTAAATTACATTTTTTAATTTCCAAATATTTGGGGATTTTCCAGATTTTTTTTTTTTGAGTTGGAGTCTCACTCTGTCACCCAAACTGGAGTGCAGTGGCACACTTATGGCCACCCAGCATCAACCTGCTGGGCTCTGGTGATCATTCCACCTCAACCTTTCAGGTAGCCAAAATGTTACTGATTTCCAGTTTAATTCCACTGTAGTCAGAGAAGATACTTTTCATGCTTTGATATATTCTAAATTTATTGAGACACTATGTGGCCCAGAATATGGTCAACCTTAGTAAATTTTTCATGTGCCTATGAAAAGAATGTTCACTCTGCTATTCTTTGGTAGAACATCATATAAACATCAATTATGTCAAGCTGGTTGATACTGCTGCTTAAGTCTTCTATAGATTTACAATTTGCTGTCTACTTTTTGTATCAATTGTTTTTGATATAAATTATTGAGAGAGGTGTTCGAACCTCTGACTATAATTTTGGATTTTTATATTTTTCTTTCCCTTCCTATCATTTTTAAAAACCATTTCCTTTCCAGTTTTCTGGCTAGGAATATAATTGTTTAGATTTGTTATGTCCCCTTGATAAAATAATATTTTTATCATTATAAAATTACTCTCTTCATTGCTGATAATATTCTTTGCTTTGAAATTTACTTTGTTACAGAACTGTATGAATTTACTATTTCTTCTTGAATCATTTTTTGGTAATATATTCTTTTCTAGAAATAGTTATTTTAATCTAAATATTCAAATTTATTGGCAAAGTCATATGTAATGTCTTCATTTTCTTTTTTTGTTGTTTTGTTTTGTTTTGTTTTTGAGTTGGAGTCTCACTCTGTCACCCGGGAGTGGCCACTGCAACCTTGACTTGCTGAGCTCCGGTGATCCTTCTGCCTCAGCCTTCCATAGCTGGAACTACAGGCATGCGCTACCACACCCAGCTAATTTTTTGATTTATTGTAGAG